TCTTTCCCTGCTAATCTGTATAACAACCTAGTTCAAATCTAAGACATGGTAAAAGGAACAATTTCACTTAGTAAGCTTTGGGCAGAAGTTTAATGGTGGTTGTGATGAGCTAAATATAAAGATCAGTTAAAAATATGAAATCCTGGTGCTCGGGACCAAATGGTATTGATTTTAAGATGTGTTGCATAGTGGTTTGGATTTTAGGCCTCGAGCTGCACATCCAGCCTGGGGTTGGGTGCCATGTCTGCTACACAGCTGGGCAGATGTGGGCAGCCTGCTCAGGCTCTCCGGTATCGCATTCCTCCTTTGCCAGAGGAGGATGATAGCGGTCCATACAGTAAGCCGTACAAAGCTCTGAGCCTGATATTTGGTTAATGCTCAATAAATGTTGGCACTTGTTACCATTTAAGTGTTTTTGCAACTGGGGATATCTTTGGTGAGCCTAACTCCCTTTCTGACCAGGTGTTTCTGCTGGCTCCAGCATCTCTCTTTAGAGTGGCTGGTGAGGATGAAGTCTCTCCTTGGTCTCCACACACAGTCTTAACCGCAGACTGGGACCTTTTTAAACATCATTCTTGGACCAGTTGAGTTAACCAGTACAGCAGTTGAGCAGTTAGACGGCTTAGTGTTAAATCTTTAAGATATTTTTAAAATGTGTTTTTCAGCTCGTATAAACCAAATTATGAACTAAGAACCAAAGGTCAGTTTTGTAGTGATGAGTTTTTTTTTAAGCATCTAAGGGAAAGCAAATTCTCATTTTACCTTTTTTTTTTTTTTTTCAGTTTCAGTGACGTTCTGGCCTGTATTTCCTCAGGTTCTAATTTATATAAGTTTGTACTTTATTTAACAGCTTTTAAAAGCATGTGGGAGATGTATTTTCTAGAATTTTTTTTAAGGACTATATAAGCTACCTGAAAGGGCTATTTTGTGCAAAATATTCAGTTTAAAAGGAGTTCTAATTCTACAAGTGGACATATCTAAGGCTCCCAAATTAAGGGATAAGGCATTCTTTTTCTGTATACCTTAGATGTATATATATAAAAGTAGAAGACAATGTAGCATATAGGTATGCATTGGATAAGAAAATGGGCTCTTGATTCAAATCCTGGCTTTCGCCACTTACTGGCTCCATGATTTTTGGCAAACTGCTTAAGTTCTCTATTCAGTTTCTTCATCTGTAAGAGGCCTAATAATATTACCTAATTAATGGGGTTTTCATGAATATTAAATTATGAAATTGTGTCGAATTAAATATATTTTGAAGTGTTTGGGTGGTACCTGTTACATAAACGTTTTAATTGTTAGTGATTATGATGAAAATGATGACATCCACCACCAAATCATCTGAACAAAAAAGAAAACTAGAGTAAAAATATTATATTTCAACATCTTAAATTTTTCTCTTAAACTATTTGAAAAAAATTTAATTAAAGACAATTACGTGCCTTAGCCTCTGTAAAAATTTTTTTTAAATTCTTTTAATGTAGTATTTTATGTAGTAAGGTTAATTCCTATGCCCTATGGGATGGCTTATCTGTCATGTTTACTTGGTCGTCAGATTTAGCAGAGGTGCTAAAGATGTTTTGGGGGGATGGTATTTCTACATTACATTCTTTTCCTTTGTAAAGTTAAAACCATTTTTTTAATCTGCAAAATTTGATTTCATATCAGAAATCCTGGATTCAAGTCTCTGTGCTGCCATTCATCAGGGAAGGCAGGTTACCTAGCTTGTAAAAACCTCTTCTCCTTCATCTGCAAAAGTAGAATAAGATACTATATCTCAAATGTTGATGTGATAAATAAATAAATAAATAAATAAATAAATTCACCTCCTGATGGGGCTTTCTGTCTCCCTCTGTTCAGCACTATTCAGTAGAAATAAAATGTGAGCCACCTGTGTAATTTAAAATTTTCTAGTAGCCACTTAAAAAAAAAAATGAAATTAGTTTTAATATATTTAATCCAATGTCTAAACTATTATCAATTCCACATGTAATTAATATAACATTCATGAGATTTTTTTCATTCTAAAAATCTGGCATGTGTTTTACACTTACAGCACATCTCAACTTGAAGTAGCAACATTTCAAGTGCTTGGGAGCCACATGCCGCTAGTGGCTATCATGTTGGACAGTCCAGATCTAGAATATAGATTAATATTCCCCATCAGCATCCTTGAGCACTGGGGCTGCCTTGGCCTTAAGCAGCCTTATTCTTGAAACTGTGTGCACCTCTGGACAAATGAGCCTCACATTTCTTTCTTGAACAGCCTAGATTAGTATCTTTGCCCTGGGAGGATAGGCTCCTGCCCTTAGCCTTTTGGCTGACCTAGATGAAGACTTGCTCTGGGCATGTCATGTGCCTCTCTGTTTGGCCAAGGCCGGTAGACAACCAGGAATTCCTGAATACCTTGAGCATGATAAACCTTTTGAACGACAGAGCCCCAGGGCAGGATCAGAGATTCAGGACAAGATCAGGCTTTATAATACCCCTTTCATTCTTGCCTCTTATCTGTACTATTTGCCTTCTTTCCCAAATTTCAGAGATTTATCTAGTGTCCCTGGGAAAAGAGCAAATACCAGCAATCTGCAAAAGAATTCAGCTTTTTTTCCTTCTACCTCAGTGTGGCTTAGCAAGGCAGCCGTCCCTCCCAAACATTAACTTTTTTAAAGACATTTAGAATGTTTTGGAGGCCAAGAAATTTGGAGGAGAGATATATTCATATCTAAGCTTTTTCTGTTTTAAGGTTTTCTAATACTGTGTTCATCCAAATTTTGTGAGAATTATAGTAAAGGGTTGTTACCCTAATAGCTGTATGTCATGGTAAAAAGAGGTAGGGAATAGGGGACTCGGGTGTACTTTTACAACAAAAAAATCTGCTCAGATGTTACCTTCTTAGAAAGTCCTACCCTGATCACTCATACCTAACATAGCTAGGAGCCCCCAGCACGCACGTGTGCGTTCTTGTGCTCTCTCCTTCTCCGCCCTCTCCCTCTCTCTCCCCTCCTCCCTCTCTCTCCCCTTCCCTCTCCCCCTCCCTCTCCTCTCCCTCCCTCCCTCCCTCCCTCCCTCTCTCCCTCTCTCTCTCTCTCTCTCTCTCTCTCTCTCTCTCTCTCTCTCTGGCACGCACACACACACCCACTCTATCATTTTTCTGTTTGTTTTGTAAATATCACTTATTACTAACTAAAATTCTTTCACTTCCCAAATAGAATATAAGCTCCATAAGGGTATGGACTTTGTTTTGTTTACCCCTGCACCCCCAACTTCTAGTACAATGCTTGGCTATTGAATCGATGAATAAATAAGTGAAAGGAAATACCAAGATACTATTCTCTGTATGTACTGATAATTTTAAAATTAGTTACTGAAGAGAATTCTTCCCCGACCATTGTTGCTCTGACCAGTATGTGTGATGTGTTTGAATTTTCAGACCTAATCTCAGTGGTAGGAATCCTAGTGTTTACTCTTGATCAATTGTTTACATAAACTTTTACTTGTTTTATATAGTGTGGGGCTTAAGGAGGGAGGAAAGTAGTTTGTAATGGAGTTGTAAAAGGGGGAGCTGATCAGTACCAGGTGAAAATTTACGATTACACAGGGTAATAAAATGGAGGAGGGGGTATTGGAATAGGGAATTGGACTGAAAAATTCTTATTGTTCAGATGCTGTAAATATGTCAGAGGTTTTTGAGCAAGACAATTGATAGGTAAGAAGCTTAGGGAAAAGGTGGGAGAGATTCATAACCAAAAAGATTAGTATTATTTGGAGTATTATTTGGAGGAGTGGCAGGCTGTATAGGCTTGTGGCCAAAAAGCCACAAATCATATTTCTGTTGTCTTTGTTTATAATCTTTATTTAAAATCTTAACTATCCCTTTTAGTTTCTCAGTCATTCTTTCGGTTTACCTCTCATGCTCTTGTACCAGCTTGATGTCACTACCCACACTTCGTGCCCCTTGGAATTATGGTATCTGTGAGCACAGACTCATCATACTCTGCACAGGCCAGAAGTTCCGTTGTAACTCCTGGCTAGTCCCAGGAGCACCCTGCCAGTAAAAAGTGATCGAGACATACTGAAAACTCTCAAGTATTATTAAGAACTGTTTATGTCGCATTCAAATAAACTTTTAATAAAAGAAATAAATGCAGACTTACCAGCTTTTTTTAATAATATGTATATTTTTATTTTGCCATCCATCAATTTTGCTAATTTATCCAAGATCCCCGTGGATACCAAAATCTTCTGAGGCTCAAGTCCCTTACAGTCGGCCCTCCATATCCGCAAGTTCCACATCTGCAGATACCATCAGTCTTCTAAATAGAGCTACATAGAAAATCCATGGTTTCGTAATTAATAATTTCACACACACATAAATATTTGAATTTGAGATTCTGTATGTTCAAAGCTTACATTTATGAGTACTTTCTAGCCCTATTTAATTTTGAGATAATTTTAACAGAAGAATATTTTTTTCATATTTCCAGTTTGGGGGTAAATTTCTAAAATCTCTAAAGATAACATACAAGATTTTCAGGTTTTTTCAACATTGCGTGGAAAGTGAATCTTTAATTTACACAGATTTTGTGCTTCAGATTTGATTTTTATTTGGAGAAGAAAGGATGGGCCTGACTTACCAGCTTTTACCTTTCCTTGTTCTACTTCTTTAAATGAAAATCCTATCATTTTATGTAAACGCATCAGCTCTTTTTATAGTGCTATGAATAAATTGTTTGGTTTGTGAATATATTTAAGAAAACAATAAGCAAAATAGTCTATACTTTTTATATTGTGGCAGTAGGCTTTATTTCAGTTGGTTCTTTTTATAGTGTTATAATTTTAAGGTTTTATTGATTAAAGAATGGTATTTTACATGTAGTAGATAATTTTTAAGGACTATTTCTAATTACATTAAGTTCAAATGATGCATTTTAACTTAACATCTTTTTTCTTCTCAGTCTGTAAGACTTGTATTGTCCAGCACTTTGAAGACAGCAATGATTGTCCGAGGTGTGGCAACCAGGTTCATGAGACAAACCCGTTAGAAATGTTGAGGTACGTAAATGTATTTTTAGTTCAACTAACTTAAATAAATTATATAAACTCTTAATTTTTATTATGCATCATATTTGTTAGCGCTTTGACTCAGTTAATGTAGGTTTTATGATTTTCATTTTAAAGCATTTTATTTCAATTTAAAGTATTTTATTAAGAGGACATGAAAAACAAGGCTGTGCATATTAAATATTTAAGAAACATTTCCAAGTTAAAAATTATAACTTTATCTCAGGCTCTAAGTTACTTTAGTTGTAGTTATTTTCAGTATTTTAGATTTGTTTATTTATTTTCGCTGTGTTGGGTCTTCGTTGCTGCATGCAGGCTTTCTCTAGTTGCAGCGAGCGGGGGCCACTCTTCCTTGTGGTGTGCGGGCTTCTCATTGCGGTGGCTTCTCTTGCTGTGGAGCACGGGCTCTAGGCACACGGGCTTCAGCAGTCGTGGCTCACAGCTCTAGAGTGCAGGCTCAGTAGTTGTGGCACACGGGCTTAGTTGCTCCACGGCATATGGGATCTTCCCGGACCAGGGCTCGAACCTGTGTCCCCTGCATTGGCAGGAGGATTCTTAACCACTGCGCCACCAAGGAAGTCCCCTATTTTCAGTATTTTAATATTCTACAAAATACTGTATATTTGCCGAGCTACACGGTAGTGGAAAGAGGGCAGACCTGATGGTCAGGGAGACTAATTATTAATTTTTAAAAATGTATCATATATTCAAAAAGAGTGTACAAACATTTATGTAAAACTTAAAAGAATTTTAAAAATGACTACCTTTTTACTTAGTGACTACTAAGTAAATTTTAAAAATGACTACCTTTTTACTTTACCATTTACTTAGTGGTATAATCATTATACCAAATAAATAGTAATAATATAAAGAAGTATAATCATATATTTTTAAAGACAGAAGTGCTACATAAGATCCTAATCCAAATCCTTTTTCAAGATTAGAAATTGAAATTTATAGAAGTGACACAACATTGCCTAAGGTCCTAGCAAACTCAAATGTCACTTCCCAGCTACAAGCCAGGTGTCCTCACCACTAAGCCCATTTTCTTCCCACTGTTCCTACCATAGCTGTACCATAGATCAACTGTGCAATCTCAGGAAAGTACCCATTGAAAAACAGAATTAGATATTCTCTAGAGAGCCCTTATTAACTTCATCTCTATGTAATGTTTGCCATCATTCTATAAGTCTGGATTTGTAAGTCTTACATTTTAGACTTCTTTTCGATGTTAGTACCTATAGTTGGAATAATTTGTCTATAAGTAAATGTCTGGCCCATTGGTTTTCAAAGCGTGGTCCCCAAACCATTAGTATCTTATTAGAAATGACAGTTCTTGGGCCCCGCCTCAGACCCTCTGAATCAGCAACTCTGCAAGTGAGGGGCATCAGGGGTATGAAGGGAGGGACAGATGCCAGCTTTAAATAAAATGGTGAGGATAGGCCTCATTGAGAAGGTGAGATTTGAGCACAGAATTGCTGTCTCTGAGGGAATTAGCCATGCATAAATCTGGGGAAAGCGTGCCTGTTCCAGGTCAGGGCAGCAGCCAGTGCACACGGCCTGAGTCAGGAGTTAGGAGGGCACCTGCAACTTGTCTGAGGAGCAGCATGGGAGCCTGGGTAGTGGGCCAGGAGCTCAGAGATTGTGGACCTGATCTCTGACCTGAGCAATTAGAGAATGGGCTTGTCATTAACTGAGATAAGGAAGACTAAGGATAGAGCAGGTTTGGGGGACAGGTAGATGGGGAGTTTGGATTTGGACAAGTTGAGTCTGTTAATCATTTCAGAGAAGAGAGAAGTTGGCAGGTGAATATACAAGTCTGTGATTCAAGGGGAGAGGTCTGGCTGGGGTTAAATATCTGGTAGTCTTCAGCATGTAGACAGTTTTAAAACTGTGGGACTGGATGAGATCATGTACGGGTGTGAGTGCAGAGAGAAGAGTAGAGGACCAAGGATTGACCCCTGGAGCATTCCAACATTGAGAGGTCAGGGAGAGGAGGAAGAACCAGCAAAGGAAACTGAAAAGGCACAGTCAGTACAGGAGAGGGAAGATCCAAGTGTGTGGCTTGGAAGCCAAGCAAAGAAGAGGGAGTGATGGACTGTGTCTGATGTTGTAAGGTGAAGACAGAGTTGACAGTTGGATTTAGCAACTTGGAGGTCGTCAGCCTTGACAAGAGCACTTTCAGCAGAGCTGTGAGGCAAAAACTTAAGTGGATTGTTACAAGAGAGAAAGGGAGGAAGAAGAATTAAAAACAGTGAGTATAGACGACTTTTTCAAGTTTTGCCACAAATGGGAGTGGGAGCAAAGAAATGGGGTGGTAACCGTTCAGAGTACAGTCAAGAAGGTTTTCTGTTTTGTTGTGATACGGGAGGAATAATGGCATGTGTGAAGGGACTAATCCAAGAAAGAGCAAAAAGGTAATAATAGAGTTGGGGAGAGAGGGCATTGCTGAAGCAGTGTTCTTGGGTGGTTGAGAGGGAGTGAAATCTAATAGAAGAGACTGGCTTCCTACAGGTCATGTATAGCAGCAGGTAGGAGGGCAGAGTAGACATGGGTGCAGATGCCATAGGTAGATGTGGTGGTCAGAGTCTGCAAGTTCGTGTCTCACTGAGGAGAAGATGTTTATCAGCCAAGAGTAAGGACGGAAAAGGCGGGTGTAGGGGTTGGCGAGAGAAGAAAGTGTGTTGTCCAGGAAAGTAAGAGAATAAATGGACTGGGAAGTGTAGTGTGAGTCCTGGCGACCTGAAAGGCGCACCTGGGTTGTAGTTACGAATTTGAAGGGGTGTGGTTGGGCTTTCCAGCCCACGGGTAGAAGGTGATGGAGAGCTGGATTGGACTGGTGGTGTGGTTACACCACATGATTTTGAGCAAGTGAGGGAGGGGCAGGGGAGTCAAAGGTGCGTGCAAGCTGTGGCTCTAACGACTGCTGTGGGGTGATCCTGAATGGACGGCGAGGGCAGCGAGAACATGACATTGGTGAGGGGTGATGTCCCATGGGGACAGGAATGGAACTAGTTGATTCCTGAACCGTTTGTGCATAGTAAGAAGAAATTCTTTCAGAGAATTTGGGAATGGGTATGTAGCAGATGAAGAAAAGAAAGCAATTACTAACGCCAGGGAAAGAAAAAGGTTGAAGGAGGGGATATCTTTAATCACAGTACACTGTGAATATTTAGATAATCCTAACCATGTAAACGCTCATTATTTTTTAAATGGCAGTAAGACTTAGGAAGATGAGAGTTGGGAAAACGTATGTTGGGAGGAAAGGGGCATGGCAGGATGATATCAGAGAGCTAAACCTTTATCTCCCACAGAAGGAGGTCAGAAAAACCTAGACAGCAGAGAAAGAATGGCTTTGTTTTTTAATCTATCATCTGTCTATCTGTCATATATATAGAAATATGAAAGTAAATACTAGACAAAACAGCTTGGATTTGAAAGCAGTTGCCCCTGGGGTTGTAGGAATCAGGAACAGAGAGAGCGGGGCATAAAAATGTTGTGTTTTCATATAAGGTTACAGGGAAGTTTGATTTGTAAATCATAAATGTGTATTACATTGATAAAACAAATATTAAGAAGAAGAGAAATAATACTTCTCTTAAACACTGCTACTATTAAAATAGTCTGGGAAAACTCTGTGAAGGAGTTAGTAGGTAAGTCCTGAAGAATCAGGTAACATCGGTTTGGTTGGAGAGTAGGAACTGGAAAAAAGTATTTGAGCCAGGATGAAGAGCCTGAGGGAGGAAAACAGATTGGAAAAGGCAAGGCATTCTTGAGGATAATTGAGTAAGTCAGTTGGCTAGAGAAGAGCGACAAGAGAGCAGCACCAGTTACATTTTGCAGGTTGAACTCAAGTTATATAAACACGTGAAGCCAGGTGGTAGGAAGAAATTAGTTCTCGAACAGGCAAATAATGATCAAATTAGTGCTTAAGGAAAATTCACTATGAGAATGTCAAGGTAAAGGGAAACATCTCTATGCTGTCCTCTAAATAGGGTGGTGATTGAGGGAACAGAAGGATGGGAAATGTGCAAAGACTGGGTGGGAGAAACACTGAGAAGCAGCTGTCTGGGGCTTGGTGAGTAAATATGTGAAGCAGGAGAGACAGGTAGGTTAAAATAATGCTTGCATTTTGATCCTATTTGGGAATGATATGGTATCATTTCTAAATTTAATTTTTAAAAAGTAAGACAGAGGTATTCAGTATTTTGTTGAAGGAGAACAGATAAGATAGTCTTGACATATATGAACAAAAGGAGGTGCTTGGGATATTCAACATCTGTTGGAAGTATGGAACTTGAGCTCAGCAGAGAGATGCAATGTGTGTTTGTGTATGTATATGTTATCTGCCTATACGTTAGTTTTGAAGTCACAAAAGTGGATGAGATCTTCAAGGAAGGCAGCCTGTAGAAAAGGTCAGAGGGTGCAGAGAGCAGAGCAAAGGAGAATACTCAGATGTAGAGGTAGTTGGAAAAAGAAAAATATCTTGGGGACAAAGGGAGTTGATAGAAAAAAAGAAAAACCAGGAAAGGAAATTTTCAAGGAGGCAGCGTCAGGCAGCACTGATAAACTGCTGCAGAGCAATGAGGAGAAAAATGACTTTAAAAGTAAGATTTTTTAAATTTTAGCTCTCAAAAAAATTTTAAATCTATTCATTATGGAAGTTATGGATGATTTGAGGAGTTCAGTCGAGTAAAAGAAGCAAAAATATGTGACAGATAATGTCAACTGTGATTTCATAGTTTTTCCAGTTGGAAGAAGAGGTGGTGTATCTGCTAACAGCATGAAAAGACAATAGGTTAAGCCAAGGTTTGGGGGCTTTTTAGATGTGAGAAGCGTAGCCGTGTTTTCAGTTGGAGAAGAGAAATGCCGCCGAGCAGGGTGAAGGAGATGAGCGGAAAAGGTGTCTCAGGAGCAGCAGGACAAGATGAAGAAATGAAAGCCGTGGAAAGGAAGAGTTGTGCTCAGATACAGCAGGAGAAGGAGACAAGAAAAATGTCAAGGGAAATATTTACGTTTTTTATCTCGGAAAAATGGTCTAAATTTCTCAGAAGAGAAAACTGGAGATTATTTCTTTCATAGGAAAGAGCCAGAGTTGTGGTAGAGATTTTGAAAGCAATAGCTGGCTGCATCAGCTATTGCTATATAACAAACCACCCCTAACTTTCATGCTGAACACAACAGTTAAAGCACTTATTATTCCTCACAGTTCTGTGTGGTTCACAGATCCAGGTGGGTCTGCTGGGCTTGGCTGGGCTCGCTCAGGTGACTGCAGTCAGAGGCTGGTCAGTTGCTGCCTGCTGATCCTGGCCTGGGTTCTGTCCTGTTGGGTTGGACTGTCCATGACCTAGTGTGAGATGGCCTCAGTAGGGCAGCTTGGCTCCTTGGACGTAGTGTCACGTCCTCCAGACTCGTTCTAATGGTGGCAGGATTCCAAGAAAGCACACCAAAGCACGTGATATGCCTCATAAGGCTTGTGCTCAGAGCTAAGCAGTGTCACTTGTGCCACATCCTTTTGGCCCGAGCACATTTCAGGGCTGGCCCATATTCTCAGAGTAGAGAAATAGACTCCATCCCTTTATCAAAGTCCTGTTCAGAGGGGCAAGATTGTAGAGAGAGCTGGGGACGGGACCATTTTTGTAGTCTGTGTTCCACTGGGACAGGCTAGAAATAGATGTGCTCCACTCGCAGAGCAGTTGGGTGTGGTACTTGTGCCAAAACTGTGTATGTTCTATATTTTGTAGTATATGTGAGATGCAGATCTTAAATGGTTTACCTATTGGATTTTGATGTCTTCATTGTTTGTATATTCTCTTTTTTTCCTCTTTGGAAGGTTGGATAACACATTAGAGGAAATTATATTTAAGTTGGTCCCTGGACTACGAGAACGTAAGTTGCTCTTTGGGTTCTTGCAGAGTTTTGTGTTTTGTGAAATCACCATTTCTGTTAAAGCCTTCATGATTGTGTTTCTATTACTTTTATACTTTTTTCTTTTAAATTAGAAGAACTTGAGCGTGAGTCTGAATTTTGGAAGAAAAACAAGCCTCAAGAAAATGGACAAGGTGATTTTTTTTTTACTTCTATATCTGATGGAATCTCTCAAATTGGTCAGCTTTTTGTAGCTGTGGTGAACTAATCTCTCTCTTCAAGCTCAAGTTTCTCCTGTACAAGGGGTACAATTCATGTACCCCTTTATATTCTGAACCTTTCTCTGATTATGAACTTTTTATATAGAATCATGAGATTTTATATAAATGCATGTAAATCTGGAGTCAGTCCAGTTGAAGGTAATTGGAAATAGAGGAAATTGGGAAGAGAGAAAGGAGATAAAACGGAAAAGTGACCGCTGATTATAGCAATATTAGCTGGAGAGCTAAAGGAGACTGAAGTAAGAAATAGCCATAGCCTGCAACTAAACAGTGAGGCATTTGCTGTTTTATTTTATTTTGTATGTTTAATAGGAGAGGGAACTGGGACGTAGCTGCGAGCCAGATCAGAGGATCTTGCTATGCTCTGATAATCTGGAACGAACTTTTCATAGGTTGAGCTCAGATGATACAAATTTATGTATCCTAAAATTTCAAAAATATTTCTAGACACTTATGGGAATTTTCCCCATCACCTATGCTAAGTGACCAGATTTCCCTTTTGGGTCCCAGGAGCCTCAGAAATCAGCAATTTTTAATAATTAAGGAAAGTGGCAAACATTACTGGGCAGAGTAATGTTTTTAGTATGTATATAATTCACACAAAAGAAAAAAAAGTACAACATATCTGAAAGTATAAGTAGTATCCTTTCCTATTGACATTAAATATGAGGTTTGTTTCAAGATGGCCTAAAAATACCGTTGAAATCTTTCAAGGATATATGTCTGTTTTTATAGGCTCACCTGTGAGCTCAGTCTTCCATCCCTGGTTTTTCCATACGATTCACAGGATTGTCAATTACATATCATTAAAATGGCTTTCTCACTTCATATGTAAAATGGGGATCAGAGGTTTTTTAGTTCAACTTAACTGTGCAGGGCTGGCTTCCTATAGCAGGGGAGGTTTGAGAATGGTTTTGAATGCTTGGAATAAGGTAGCAAGGGATTATTTTTAATCTATAATCAAAACACTGAAATGGGCAAAGAAGCCAGGCCTGGCAAAAAACGACTTAAGTAAAGGCTTGTTTTACCCAAGTGTAAATTGCAATTTAGACAGTAGTGCTATACTAAAAATATAGGTAAAATTGACTGAATGTTCCAGTTTTTGACTGCTTTTTCAAGAGGACAGGAGCCAGGGCTTGTCATCAGAAGCTATGGGGTCGGGTTAGTACATGACTGTGTGTCTTACAGATTGACTAGCGAAGGACTGTAGCCTACTTTGCGTTTATCTCCCTCTTCCCATATTTCTGCCTTTTTAAAGTATTTTATCATATTTGGTCTTTAGTTTGGGTGAAGAATTTGGACCTTTTCTTAGAGCTGGATCTTGGTTCATAGAAGGCAGCTCCTGTCTATATGGGTTCCATACAAAAAGGCAGAAGAGAGAACCCACCTGCCCTGTATGATAACATCTGTAATGCTTTTTTACTACAGTCATTAAAGAGGAGCTAAGTGGTCTTTTTTTCCCCTGGAATTTTCTATACTGTAATGCTTGGCTGACTGATTCTTTCAAGTTTCAGCTTACAGACGTGTTATCTGGAAATCTCCCTTGAATCTCTGCTTCACCTCAGAGTTTGGGTTTATTAACTCTATTATATGTGCCCACCTGGTCTGTCTTACCTCTTATATCAAAGTCCTTATCGACTTCTCCGTCTGTTTTCTTTACTTGCCTGTACCTCCTTCTAAATACTCTGACACGATGAGGGTGAGGATGATAACACTACAGTTTCAATATTGTTTCCTCAGGCTTAGTCTTAACAGAGTTAAAGGCATTCAGTAAATGAATGAATCAACAAATATAGTTGGATTATATGTAGCCTTCTGATATTTCATAGGTTAAATACATTTGTTTATAGTATGCTACTCAGATTTCTTTGATGGTGTTTTAATGTTACATAGTTACATACATGTTAAAAAAAGCTAATTCATTCTACTTATTTCACTAGCTAATTTTATGAATATCTAATAATTTGAAATTTTGAGAACTTAGAGAATATTTTAGTTTGAAAAGAGTACTTGGTTTTAAGTTTTGAATATATATAGAATTTGGAAGTATTTTTATATCTTATCAATTTCTAAGTGGTCTCATCACTAATGGCAGTCATTTTTGTGACCAAATATAGCTAGTCCTGAGTCTTTCATTTGGATGTCCCAGTGAGCCTAGAAGTCGTAAGCTATGTTCATAAGTCACTGATGGTTTTTTTAAAAATATTTCCATTGTTGAGTGGTTGGGACATTTAAAGGTACTAAAAGTTTCAGTTATTCTTCATCAAAAACTGTTAAGAAATGTTTTTTAAAGTTTATTTTTGTTTTCATGGTTAGTATATTGTTGCTTAACTATAAAATGAACTGAGTTAACTTAGCTTTATTTAAATTATACAGATGATACTTCAAAAGTTGACAAACCTAAAGTAGATGAAGAAGGTGATGAAAATCAAGATGATAAAGACTATCACAGAAGTGACCCACAAATTGCTATATGTCTAGATTGTTTACGAAATAATGGACAGTCAGGGGACAATGTAGTAAAGGTGAGTGGACAAGTACAGTTGTTTTTTTCATAATCATTTTATAGTAAACCTTTCATAACTTGTTGATGAATTTTCCTACTGTTTCAGAATGTTTGCTTTCAAATTTTTTATTAACATAAACAAATAGAATGTCATTCTCTGACAGTCTCTTGCCTGCAAATAGCCAAGCAGTTGCTTACTTCAGGCTCCTGATTTCTAAACCTCACAACTGAACCGTCCTGGGTCACTGCCACCACCTAGTGGCCAATGAGGAGAATCACGCCTGTATTTCTCTTTCAACCTCCTTTTATACCTTTGTTGGGAGTTCATATACACTGTTTTTCCCTTTTTAAGTGTAGTCACCAACTCAGACTCAGATCATTTCAGGTTGGGAAGCATCTTCAACCTTTTATTCATCCTCTTCTGATTTTCTCTTTTGTTTCTCTGTTTTTATTTGCAATTCAAAAAAGCTATACATGTCATGGCTAATACATTTTATGAACATAATTGGTTTTGATGGATGTCATAAAGTACCCGTGAACTTTTCCTTTACTTCCTCTGTGTGATCTGTAGGCCAGTGAGTTGATTTTTTTTTTTTTTTTTTTTTTTTTTTTGGGTATGTGGGCCTCTCATTGCTGTGGCCTCTCCCGTTGCGGAGCACAGGCTCCGGACATACAGGCTCAGTGGCCATGGCTCACGGGCCCAGCTGCTCCGCAGCATGTGGGATCCTCCCAGACCAGGGCACG